TTCTGACAAACATGAGTCCACTAAGCGATTGAGTTTGTCACCCCATTATTTAACTGCATATATATTTATACCATTTTCTATATTTTGCACTTAATGATGAATAAACATCTTGCCTCAATCATTATAATTGATTATTAAAATCATGAGAAATAAAATATTGTTTAAACCAACTCGATATTTCTTTCGAAGAAAATTATGTTTTTATGGTATTTTATTACCCGGCTTCCACTAAAAATGCTTTTAACTAATATAATAGATTTTGACATTCATTTTCGTTTTCCCAAGAAGATCAAAATGCATGAAACACAATATTCACATTTGTTCTTACCTGATTAAAGATCGAATGAAAAATTAATGAAATCTTATCTATATATACTTTTCTACCAATGGACAGGCGCCATATACAATTACTGATCTAATTGAGTTGTGTAAATATAATTATAGAGTTGACAAAATAACACCATTTCCGAACAAAAACAATTGTCTTTTTGGTAACATATTTTATTTAAAAGTAAAGTGTGATAACGTGTGATATAATGATATATCATATGAATTTGACAGCTATAAAAGTTATCTTCTATTTACCACCAAAATAATTATTGAAATGAGCTTTACATACGATTTTAACTCTCGATCCTGTATGGCATGGACTCGATTGTCCAGTTTTCCAAGCATCTTCAGCATCATCACTGGCAGAGTTCTCGCAAAATGCAAGCACACAGAATCAAACTTCAAAGATTGTAGAGGAAACATATATGATGGAAAAAGTTCCATTCACTTGTATCAGTGGTCCATTGAATTAAAAGATCTCACCGTCGACAAATTATAGCGGTGAACTGACGTAAGATCTTGTTGGTGTACTGTATGGCTACTAGTTTTCTAATGACTACAGATGGATGGTTTGGTATCTTCGGATTAAGTCGGTGTTGAGATTCCTTACAAATTTTGACTATTGGTGATTGATCCAATGGATCCTACGATGCTGCAGATTTCCATATAAGAGTCATATCCTACTGACTTGAGACTTTTCTTGGCACAATAACTGGATTAAAGACATGCGATGTAACCTCAATAGATTTAACTGATGGTTGATGTTGTTTTGGAAGTTTATATGTGGATTATACAGCGTTCAAAACATTCCGGACACTAAACAGTATTTTTTTTTTTTTTTAGCAAAATATGTGTTTTTGTGGCTATCTTTTGTAGTCACAACTATAATTATTTGTGTTCCTCCACACAATTCTACATAAAATGGATGCCTTAAAGGCTTGCCTGGAAAATTTTTCTGTATTTACTGCTAATAATTCTTGCAGGATACGGAAAGGGAGCTTTGACATCAAATGAGGGTCAATGACAATGACTTGCCACTTATGTCAAAATTCATTATGTATCAATGTCTACCATCTGAGCCATGAACCCCACTACATTAACAACTACAGACAACATTGTGTATCGGACTTGGGGGCCTAATGTTGGCTTTGTCATTTCAGTTGCCAGAGTGGAGATGTAAAAAAAAACTTGATCATGTTCAAGGAAATGTGACAATATAAATTTGACCCTTTTCTGTCTAATTTGCGTGTTTTTTGGGGCTTGGTTGAGCTGAGGGTTTTAACACAAAAAAGGGAGTATGGGGTAATATCTATCAAGTCAAAACAAAGAAAGACCATGAATATGCACAGATTGGCTTTCATGATTTCTATGACAGAAAATGTCGTTGACAGAAAATGTCGTTCTACCATCGAGATATAAACTATGTATCAATATCTACCATCTAAACTTTGAGTCCCACATTTCATGATCATGTTCCAAGTAACATTATAAATTTAACCCTTATTCTCTCTAAATTGCGTTTTTTGGTCTTGATTGGGCTGAGGGTTTTGACATCAAAAAGGAAGTATGGGGTTATATCTATCAAGTCTCCCATCAGTCAAAATAAAGAAAAATGAGTATGCCTAGATTAGCTTTCATGATTTCTATGTCTGAAAATGTCGTTCTTCCATCGAGATTCATTATGCATCATCGTCTAACCCTTGAACCCCACCGCATTAAAAACTACAACAGACAATTTTATTTTACGGTGAGGGTTTTAATTGTTAGCATTGACACTTCAGTTAGTACAGTGGAGATGTCCGGTAAAGAAAACACACATAATCTTGTGCGAAGTACATTTCACCATTATTCTGTGTAATTTGTGTTTTTTAAGCCTGGTTTTGATCAAAGACCTTAATTTTTTTTACAGAATTATCTTGTAAACTAAAAACCATTTTACTTATTCAGAATTTTTGTACGTATACAAATGGAAATCATAAGATAGCAACTAAAACTGGGCGATGGAAATCCATTGATAGAAAGGATAAGAATTGTGAATTTTGTTATAAGCAGTCAAAATAATAAGGTGTAGTAGTGGGCACAAAATTGAGTGGTGAAGATTAAACAGAATTTTATGCAAGTCACTAAAATGATTGTCAAATCAAATAAATTTTGAGGATCCTTCTGGGAACATGGAGGGTCTAAATGACCAGTTTCAGAATGTTTACTTGAGATGGTGACAGCAGGATTAGATTAACAGGTCTTGTTTCTCCTTCCATTTATCTCATATTTCACCCAGGTGGTTCTGGCAGAAAGCCAATTTTTGGGTCCGCTGGTCTACTTAGGCTTTTTGTTTTGTTCAAAGGCTTCGATAGTACCAGCAGTTTCATCAAAACGATTACACAGTTTACAAGTGGTAAAATAAATGTAGATATTAATGTATCTCCAACACGACTTCCACTTGAAATTGACCATTTGCATCGGGTTTGCCTGTAAGGACCTTTATTTTATTTTAAATTTAGTGGTCTTCAGCATAAAACATTTTTGAACAACATTGATCGAATACATTCAAAAATCCAAGATCAGACCATCCCTGTCTGCCTCTTGGCCCTCAAAATCGTAAGAATGACATATGGTCATTGGTGTATCTTTTAGTGCCGACCTTTAGTGTGATCATTAGACTAGATCTCTTACAAGTTAATAAAAAACGTGTTATAAAGATATCTTCCTGAAATTTTAGTTTTCATCCAGGGAACAGTAAGTTTGTCATAGAAGAAGTTTTTTTTTGGTTTCGTATCAATTACAACTGTTAAATTTTCGCATTTTATCTTACAGTCGAATGTTAGGCTATAGTGTTTAAAGATTCCTGTGAAATCCATCTTTCATAGTTAGCTCAACATACAGAGCGAACCCATGAGAGGAAGGCTGAAACAAAACTAATGTCATAAGTTTTTAGGTGATAAATTATGAAAAAAAATTTAATCCAATTTTAACAGTTCAAGGGAGGTAACCGATCACCTAACTTAAATATGGAAATAATAACAGAAAATTGTTTGATTGTTAGGGCACATCTATTGCCACTGGATAGTGGTATTTTTATCAAATAAATAAAGAAAGCCATTTTCGAGATTATCAAGTGCAGCCACATGAATAATTAATCTGATTTTATACTCCCAAGCCGTGCAATTTCTACACTCTAACGAAAATCTCAACCGATCGTTTCAAGTATCGGAACGCTCAAAGAGAAGATTTTCATACGTCAGACTTACTCCGAAAATTCAAAGACTTTGTAATATAAACTTGTGCGGAAAAACACTTGTGTATTGTATATCCTCACGTGTGCTATTTTGAAATGCTAACTTGTTTTGATTTATAACAGAAGTATATGTGTGTTAATTTACGTGTATATGTGTTATTATTACATGTGTATGTGTATACTTATTACACACAAATCCTTGTGTTGTCTGTCCCATTTTTTTCTAATTCAAAATGGCATACGACATACACTTTCTTATGCATATAAATCAGTCACAAATTGAAAATAATACAAAACCATATCCCAAAACAAATGTGGTTAATAACCTACATTGAATATAGCTCGCCATGCTATGTAACATACGCTCACTGGCAGCGGTCGGAAATGATATAACCTGAATTTCTATAGCCTCTATCATGCCTACAAGGAAAATTCTACGCACTATTATTTAGCCAAGGGCAATAGAAAAAAAATCCAATATATCTATATATATACAAGCATAGAAAGTTTCATTAGGATTGGATAAAACCCTATTTTGTGCCTACAAGCCAAAGTTGACGAGTTTTTACTAAGCCAAGGGCAAAAACTCAAAAACTTACCAAATTTGAACTTGACCGAGATGTCATCAATATTAACATGCATTAAGATTGGTTATAAACTGTAAAGGCTCTATCGTGCCTTGAACGGAAATTGTGAACGGCGGACGTCAATATACGTCTACATTTTTATTTGGTCGTACACATAAGGTTTAAATTTTTAGGAATTTGGATGAAATATTACAGCATTTAATATCATAAATGAAATGTTGAATTGAATTATAAAATACTTGGACTTTCTCTGGATATTTCAGATTAAAAATAAAAAAACATTTAAACAACACATCAACACCAACAGATAATTTTTGTGGATTTAACTAAAATAGCTTGATTCTCTAAAATAACAAAATAATTATTCGGTTTGATATTTAAAATGAATGGTGGTGTTCGTTCTGTGTTGTTTACGTTCTGTTCAAAAAATTCTTCCAGTGAAGT